ACGCGGCTGCCGTTCAGATACAAGCTGGTTGCCGTGGTTACATTACTCGTAAAGAGCTGAAGATGCGAGACGAGGCCGCGATCAAAATTCAAGCTGGTTATCGAGGTTACGCGGTCCGGAAAGGGTTGAAACAGAGCTCTAAAAGGTCAAACTTGGATAGAATCGACGAAGAAGTTCCAAAGGCTAATGAGGGCAATGAGGAGTTAGAGAGAAATGAAGAGGTGGAAGCCGCGGCCATTAAAATTCAGTCCGCATTCAGGGGGCATCGAACAAGGGAAGCGGTGCTGAGTAAAAAAGAAAAGGAAGAGTCTGAAGAAAAGGCCCCTGACGCAAAAGATGGAGACAACAGAGCGACAGAAAGGGAGCGCGATCTGGCTGCTATTAAAATCCAGTCAAGCTATCGTGGTTACCACACTAGAAAACAGATACAAGAAAGGGAGGAAGCAGCCACGAAAATTCAAGCTTATTACAAAGGTTACAGGGTCCGAGGGTTTCGTCGTGCGCAGTCGGAAGCTGCCGTCAAGATACAAAGTTACTACCGAGGATATAAGACAAGAGAACAGTTTAAAAAGAGTTATTCCTCGAAAAACTTCCTGGCCGTTTCAAACGACGATGAATTTGCCCTTCACAGGGACAGTCGAACATCGTTCAGTCTTCCCGAAGGCGTGAAATTTGAGGGAACCCTTGACGAGGACAGCGACTCGGAGATCGATAAGATGGTGGATCAGTTGGAAGAAAAGAAGAAATTGAAAGCAATCGAAGAAGCTTCGTGTCCCGATGCTGCAACGGAAGACAAGGGCGGTGAAAATAAACCAACTGCTGATTCATAAAATGATAATGAATGATACAATGGGTTTCAGGGATTTCATTCGCAGACAAAAACTTATGAACCGCCTTGAATAGCATTAATTACAACAAGGAATTAACTGCTAATACAGTAGTCTCAAAGCGAGCTACAAACGTTTACTTGGAAGCTTCGAGTCCCGATGCTGCAACGGAAGACAAGGGCGGAGAAGACAAACTAATTGGTGATTCATAAAATGAAAATGAATGATGCATTTTTATGGTCTTCGTGACTTTAGATTTCATCCGTAGACAGAAAAAAATATGAGCCACCTTGTATAACATTAACAACCACAGGAAATAACTACTCATACAGTGGTTTCGAAGCAAGCTGCAAAGACTTAGTGGTCGCATACGGGGGAGTGTTCGCTTTCAAGAATCGAACACAGGGGGGTCTCTCAGTCCATGAAGTGGTGCGGACACATCAGTCTACTTTATGGAAGATAATCATTTTATTGCTTGCGCTTTTTAGGGGACGATATGTGTAGTTCCATGTTGTTACTAAAAGTTCTTCGTATTTTCTAAGCAGTGTAGTATACACTGAGATCAGATCAAGCGTCAAGTAGTCGCTTAGAAGAGATTGAAGCAGTGGAAAGTTAATAGGGACTTTTGGTTATTTATAGCTAAGTAAGGGGGGGGGGGGGGGGATTTTTTCATCAACTCAAAAAACATGAAAAATTACCCCCCAAAAAAAAAACCTAATCCAAAAATTCTCTTCTCCCCTCTTTCTGCCTGCCACGCAGGCTAGCTTGGAACCGGAATGGGGAATCTTAGTATTTCTCATGTAATTAGCAGTGAATAAACTTCAGTTATTAACTCGTATTCGTTTGCTTAAGTAAACTATTAGGGACCTACGCTACGACGTCCATGAAAACGTCGCTGGAAAATAGACTTGGTATCCTTTCAAACTATTTCACGATTACCCCAATTCCCCTTGTTTAGTAAATAAAAGAAGGGAATTTGTGTTAGAGCTGAAGAGAGGGGGGCCCGACCGAGTTCAGACCGAGATGTTGGAATTTATGGCCTTGTTATTCGATTTCTCAAGTAAACTTAAAATTTTGTCATTTCACGTCGTAGTCGTGCAAGGACGGCAAAGAAATGTACAAAAAAACGTGATGCACGTGCAAAGTTGTTGTTTTGCACATTAAACCTATTGCTTTTTTGACGTTCCCGTTCCCGTTGCCTTCGTAGTTTTGTACAGCCCCTATTGTTTTCACACCGAGAGAGTTCACCGTAGGTTCTTATTGTGTTTCGGCAATGAACCTTCTCTAATCTAATGCGGACTCGTCTACTAGGTTGGGAGTCCACGTCGGTCTTCCATCCTGCCGGCGAACGGCGCGAACGCGGAGCGGTTGAGACGGCCGAAAACTGAGCAGTTAAAGACGAGCAAAAATGCTGCTGCAAATGGCCATGTGCCGACATTCATTTTCATTTTCATTCATTTTTCATTCATTTTCATTTTCATCTAGAGGTGGGTTTTAAAATATTTTCGGATGATAGTAATGTAAACGATACAAAAACGTTAACGTGGACGGAAAACATTTTATATGTTTTCAAGGCGAAAACAAAAAACATTATTTCGTTCAGTTCCTCTATATGGGTTTCGTAGAAGAAAGCAGTTGACATTTTTTTTTCACTCTTTCCCAATGCTATTTATTTTATTATAATTTTAACGTTATGTTACCCTAGCGAAAAGCCCTTTGTATTTTACCGAAATCATGAATAAAATGAACTGATCTTTCACGCATGAGAAATTAACATGGCGTGACAAGCGATTACGGTGGAAGTCGATCAAGGAAGCTTGAAGAGGAATGGCGAGGCAATTTAAATCCAATCAAAATTTGGACATTGATTGAAGCTCTTTACAAGCAGATGAGGCATTAACTCTTGACGTCTTCTTTAGTGGGTCAAGCGGCGGAAATCTCTCTAAAAGACCATTTAGTTAACGAGGAATGTCATTTTTAATAAAACACGTCCGCGAGGCCTCACACTATCCCATTGTTTGCGTAAATTAAAACCCAATAGAAACATTTATGGCAGACAAAGGTCCTGAATGTTAATGTATCTGTTGCCAGAGCGACGATGGACATACTCGATAATTGAACATCTTCACTCTCAACAGCACAATCTTGGGGTATTCGAGAATAGCCATCTGTTCAGTTCGATAAATTTTGAGAAGCTTTGGAGCTCGAGAAATGAGTAATAATCAAGACGAAAGCGACGAAGAGAGCTCTAGAAAGCGCCTTACAGTTCCTAGTGGCTTTAGAAACCTACTCGAAAATCTTACCTTGGAAATTTTGCGGTCGAACCCAAGTGACATTTACAAATTTGCGGCTGAGTATTTTAAATCAAGGTTGCAGGAAAGACAAGGTAGGCGTATTGTACAATACTGTTGTTATATCTGTAATCGTAGTTGTAGGTTAAGAATGAAGAGTCGGTCGTTCGAGGTACAAGAGAAGCGCTTGGATTTTCGCGAGGTCTTTATCAATAACACAGTTACTCAAACATGCGTCCCTCGGCGCTGTTCACACTTCCAAAAACAACATTCGATCTCATTTTGTTTCCTTCTAAGTTTTAGTGCCACGTGTATCGAAACAAGATTTCGTATTTGCCCCCTATCCTTTTGAAAATCAATAGCACAGTTTCTCAAAAGCTTTCAAACATGGAAAGTCCTATCAGTTTTTACATCAGTTGTTCACTCAGCTGCTCCGTTGACTATTTTTAAAGGACTATCCAGGGTGATCGGTTTTGTTTATGTTTTCTTGCGAGTTACAAAATATTTTGAAGCAAAAAGTGGCATTTGATCACCTTGTCAATCCTTGTAATTTTGAACGTTAACTACAGCTTCAGTCTTGTTGATATGAAATTGTCAAGACAGTACAGGAGCAATCGACACGTCGAATGATAATGAATGAGTCGCCCCTACTGGGCCAATTTCCATGTCAGGGTAATTTTCGGTTCATTAAGAAAATCAAACGAGTTTCTCTAAATNCTATCCAGGGTGATCGGTTTTGTTTATGTTTTCTTGCGAGTTACAAAATATTTTGAAGCAAAAAGTGGCATTTGATCACCTTGTCAATCCTTGTAATTTTGAACGTTAACTACAGCTTCAGTCTTGTTGATATGAAATTGTCAAGACAGTACAGGAGCAATCGACACGTCGAATGATAATGAATGAGTCGCCCCTACTGGGCCAATTTCCATGTCAGGGTAATTTTCGGTTCATTAAGAAAATCAAACGAGTTTCTCTAAATTGAAAATTATACATTATATTTTAAACTTCGTCATGAATGAAGTCAATAAGAACTTGCCGAAGTTCTTGCGAAGTGTGACTGCCTATTTATTTTGAGTCCTTAAGAGAAACACTGTGGTCCATTGTGACTGACGAAAGTGTGGTTTTTCAGCTGTCCCCGAAAATGTTTACATCTCTTAGTCAGTGTTTTGCAAAGTAAATTGGACTTTCGATGTACGTTAGGGTTAAATAAATGCAGATTTGTGTTATAAAATACTTTTTTTTTTCACTTTCGAATTTCCTTTGAATCGTCAGCACAAATTATGGTTTTTCTCCCATGAACTCAAACGATTATCATGATCATAACTACTGTACTTTTTGTAGGTTTACATTACTTTAATTCCATACCGACTGGGTTTTAGAAGAAGGAAACAGCTAAGCCCACGTTGATATAATAAGAAAGAAGCCTATAAAAATAATAATAAAAAAAAACTGGTATAACTTAAAACCGGAAAAAAAAAGAAAGAAAAATTGGTAATCCGCAAAAATTAACTTTACGGTCAAATTTAATTTATATCCGTTTCAAGTAAAAACGTTTTGACTGTAGATATTGACAGTATTGACTGTGGGAAAAAGGGACCCTGCAAAAGACAGGGATCAAATCCGGGGATCAAATTTATTAATTGACCATATATTAAAGAGAGCGAGATCTGAGGAAATTGTATTTTTTTTTATGTTGTTTCGCCTTATTTCGGCTTAGATAAATACTACAAATCTGAATGCAATTTAGTTAAGAATCGCAACTTTTAACTTATTTCCAAGACGGAAAACCAGTTACAGCAACTAATTAGTTCAAGCAAAATGCCGGTAATTTCCGTAATTGTCAATCCTAATATGTAACTCGATTTTTGAAGGGTAGGTTAACCACGTTTTCACTACCCTGCGAGCAGAGTCTCCTTCCATCTTATCTAGGAAGATCGACGGAGACTGTGCTCGCAGGGTACGTTTTCACCAAGGATTATAGTCAAAATGCGATCAAAGAGGTTTACTCTCATTGCAGTGAAACTACTGTTTTAATGTTGAAGACAAGAAGATGGTTTAGATTTTGAAATATTTGTTTTAACCAAGCAGGAAAATACCATTTGAAACGAAAGGGAAAAATTATTTTAACCTTTCATTTTGCAACTGCTGATAACGGTATATTTTTGGCTATCTAACGAGGTATCGGAGATTGAGTGGTTGCTGAATATTGTTTAAATAGATGTTTTACACCTGCAATGTTCCTATGATTTACTGAAATGCAAATTTTTTTTAAACCATAAAGTCACTTATCAGTTATTCACCATTTGCACATCTCCCAAAACATACCTTATTTGCACCCCAAAATTTTGCATAAGCATTGTTTTACATTTCTCTCTGGACCACTGTAATACCCTATCGATATATCCAAAAGAGTATCGAATAGAATTTCTGAGAATTTTTCTCTTAAACTATGGGTTTAGAAGCATCTCTCCAGTCAGAAAGAATTAGCTTCGATACTTTTGCTCCAGTTCTTGAAAATAAGCATTTGAAAATTTCCAACCTACATCGAAATTCGCAGCGATTTAATTGGTAAAGGGCCAAATGGGAGGTTTTTTGTGCCCGACAAGCTCCAAAATTACACTATCAACAGAAAAAAAATGGAGAAAAAGAACTAAGAGAGAGGAGAAAGGGAAAATAGCAACGTATGATTGCAGCTTAAATTAGCTGTACTTTGGAAACGAGAGGGAACCTTTCGAAAAGACGTCTGGGACTATTTCTAAGGACAGGGGAAAAAATTGGCCAATAGCTGACCGACGCGTCCCCAGTAGCGATCCCAGAAATAATAGCGGGACGCATCTCGGCTCCAGTCCCGTTCTCGTATCTAAAGTGGCGATTTCCCCGAAGAAGTCAGGATGTGCCCGACGAAATATTGGAAAGAAAAAGCTTAAGCTCATTGCTGTACAACCAGTCTTGCTTTTTTACTGTTTGTTTACAACAATGAAAATTTGCTGATTAGATCCAGCAGGATCCGCACCTTTGTTTTGTACGTTGACCCTCGCTACTTGTGACAATAAAAATATCACCACCGCATGCAATCTTATCCTGCTTGCTGTTCAGGTTACGTCTTCACGGAAACTGTCTCAGTGTTGTCTTTAAAAAATAACTAAAATAACGAAAGAAGTATCCGAACAATTCTACCATTTTTAACTAAGTGGTGGGTCTGCCCTATTGATCTTTTTTTGACACTCGATTCAGAATGGTTCTTAATCCCCATAAAAAGGAGGGAAAAAACCGCGAAAATTGAAGACTTGATGGTCGTTCCGCAGCAGATGGAAACTCTCTCTGACCACCACTCATTTCGTCTATAAACAACGTTTAGCTTTTAACTCCATGAAAGTGCTTTGTTTAAACTTTTCTTTTTAAACATTTTTAACGCAGAACGAGGATTTGATGATTGCCTTTTGGGGTCACAAATAGATGGATATTATCGCTACGAACCGTTTGGAAGCAAGCAAGAGAGTCTTGATAAAGCGGCCACGAAAATTCAATCTACTTTCCGTGGCCACAGGGCAAGGCAAGAGATTCGAAAGGGCAACGCCGCATCTGGAGAAAACGACGCAGAAAAAACCCAGAGAGTGGTCGATGGTTTTGGCGGGAAACAATACGGCAGTGAGGAACACGCGGCTGCCGTTCAGATACAAGCTGGTTGCCGTGGTTACATTACTCGTAAAGAGCTGAAGATGCGAGACGAGGCCGCGATCAAAATTCAAGCTGGTTATCGAGGTTACGCGGTCCGGAAAGGGTTGAAACAGAGCTCTAAAAGGTCAAACTTGGATAGAATCGACGAAGAAGTTCCAAAGGCTAATGAGGGCAATGAGGAGTTAGAGAGAAATGAAGAGGTGGAAGCCGCGGCCATTAAAATTCAGTCCGCATTCAGGGGGCATCGAACAAGGGAAGCGGTGCTGAGTAAAAAAGAAAAGGAAGAGTCTGAAGAAAAGGCCCCTGACGCAAAAGATGGAGACAACAGAGCGACAGAAAGGGAGCGCGATCTGGCTGCTATTAAAATCCAGTCAAGCTATCGTGGTTACCACACTAGAAAACAGATACAAGAAAGGGAGGAAGCAGCCACGAAAATTCAAGCTTATTACAAAGGTTACAGGGTCCGAGGGTTTCGTCGTGCGCAGTCGGAAGCTGCCGTCAAGATACAAAGTTACTACCGAGGATATAAGACAAGAGAACAGTTTAAAAAGAGTTATTCCTCGAAAAACTTCCTGGCCGTTTCAAACGACGATGAATTTGCCCTTCACAGGGACAGTCGAACATCGTTCAGTCTTCCCGAAGGCGTGAAATTTGAGGGAACCCTTGACGAGGACAGCGACTCGGAGATCGATAAGATGGTGGATCAGTTGGAAGAAAAGAAGAAATTGAAAGCAATCGAAGAAGCTTCGTGTCCCGATGCTGCAACGGAAGACAAGGGCGGTGAAAATAAACCAACTGCTGATTCATAAAATGATAATGAATGATACAATGGGTTTCAGGGATTTCATTCGCAGACAAAAACTTATGAACCGCCTTGAATAGCATTAATTACAACAAGGAATTAACTGCTAATACAGTAGTCTCAAAGCGAGCTACAAACGTTTACTTGGAAGCTTCGAGTCCCGATGCTGCAACGGAAGACAAGGGCGGAGAAGACAAACTAATTGGTGATTCATAAAATGAAAATGAATGATGCATTTTTATGGTCTTCGTGACTTTAGATTTCATCCGTAGACAGAAAAAAATATGAGCCACCTTGTATAACATTAACAACCACAGGAAATAACTACTCATACAGTGGTTTCGAAGCAAGCTGCAAAGACTTAGTGGTCGCATACGGGGGAGTGTTCGCTTTCAAGAATCGAACACAGGGGGGTCTCTCAGTCCATGAAGTGGTGCGGACACATCAGTCTACTTTATGGAAGATAATCATTTTATTGCTTGCGCTTTTTAGGGGACGATATGTGTAGTTCCATGTTGTTACTAAAAGTTCTTCGTATTTTCTAAGCAGTGTAGTATACACTGAGATCAGATCAAGCGTCAAGTAGTCGCTTAGAAGAGATTAAAGCAGTGGAAAGTTAATAGGGACTTTTGGTTATTTATGGCTAAGTAAGGGGGGGGGGGGGGG